ATCCAACTCCGGTAATTTTAACACTCCTGTAGTTCAAAAGAAATACCCTCCTCAAAATCCTAACTCTTTGCCTGTCGACTAAGTGGGCTTTGCCCTGCATGTATGTACGGCACTGTGTAGTGCGCAACTGTGCAGTCCCATTTGACACAAACCGAGAGATTATCCTTTTTGGTAGACCGCAGGCAACAGAAGCGGGAATTAAGGAAAAAATACCTTCCTAGCAAAACATAATAAGCAGCCCCTGCTGTGTGAACAACCCGGACTAATAAAAGCATCGGAGCCCGGGCATTTCTGGTTTAGGGTCCTTTTATCGAGCACAGCTGCTTGGATCCTTTGGGAAGGCACGTCGCCGCGGCCGTCGGCCAAACGTAAGGGATGAACTCTGGGGCAGGAGCGGAATCTCACCCCAGCCAGTTCCGAGGGCTTCACGGGGGCAGCGCCGCCCGTTCCAGCCATCCTTCCCGCGCCGTCGCCTTCATCCGCCATCTTTGGAGAAGCGGGGCTCGGCAGGCTTGAGTCCTACCACAGGCCAACCGGAAATCAGCTGCGTGGGGAAGGCGTGTGGACGACTAGGGCTCGGGAAGACCTGACCCGATGCCCGACGCCCAAACCCCAAGCGAAGAGGCTCCTCTGCAACATCGCGCATGCTCGGATTTCTGACGCATGCTCAAGAGAGCCTTTGCTGAGCCGAGCGTCGCTTGCTAACCGGAAAACCTCGGCTGTTGCTTCTAAAACAAGTATGGGGCAAAGCGAATACGCGGCTGGGGAAGCCCCTCTATCGGCCTATGTAGAAACTGCCGCTGACTTTAAGCTCCGGATGTATATAGTTATACGTTATTTTTTCCAGAATAGCAATATTGTAAGTTGGAAGCCCAAAGCTTCACTTTTCTTGCACGAGTTCAACCTAATGAAAAGTAGGCACGATTAAATGCATTTTAATTCTAACGAGCTGCGATTTGTAATATGTTTTTTTAGCACCTCAGAACAGTTGTATTTTGAGTATTTGTATTAGCATGCCAGGTGAATATAATCAGATTCGATTTAATTTCTTGGGTAAATACTATGTTTGTGGATTAATTCTACTATAGTGGCAGAGAACTGATATAATTTCTGTCTGTGAGAAGTGATATTTGATTTTGAAATTTGCTGCACAGAATAAATTTGTTTGCAAGATGAAACTGAATTTCCAACACTTCCTTTACCCAGCATTGGCCTTTTGAGCCTCCGCATTCCTATTCTGCCCCACATCTAGTATCTGCAGGATCTTTAGATGTGAAGTTCTTGCTTGTAGACTGAATATTTGCTAATTAAACTTTTATACTAGTAAAAGTCTTCCATTGATTTGCAATTAATGTAGAGACTGGAATTAACCCAGGCTAGCACTTGGATTCAAAGCCAGTTTGTGCAAACCCAAATAGCACTTTCAGGTTTGGACAACACGTGACCCAGGAGAGAGCTAGTTGGGCTCTTACAGAAGGAAGCCCATACATTAATGCAGCTGCCATAGACCCAATGACTGAATTGTTTAGCACTACTTCAGCAACATCCACTGGCTTCCTTGGTGATTAATTAGGCTGTTTTTCAACTCACCATCCACAGTGAGATGCTACTTGGGCAGAATCTAACCCTGAATGAGGCTTTTGAACTTCTGCTAGAACAGTGGTTCTCAACCTGTGGGTTGGGACCCCATTTGGGGTCGAACGACCATTTCACAGGGGTCACCAAACAACGCAGTCCACCATTTTTTTTCCCCTTTTCCTTAGCTGTGCTACTCCCTTTTATTCTATTGGCTTTTGAAAGCCAATAGAATAGACTCTCTTGAATAGAGTCTAATTCTATTGGCTTTCAAAAGCCAATAGGAATTGTCCAGGCTGTCTCTGCCCTGCTGAGCCTGCCAAAAGTCCCATTCTGCAAACGGTGCTGCACCAGTTGAGTAGTCCTTGACTTACGACCAGTTGAGTAGTCCTCGACTTACGACCGGTTGGGGGTCGCGGCATTAAAAAGGTTGAGAACCACTGTGCTAGAATAAATGAAAAGGGTTCTCTACAGCTTGAGTTTTGCCATCTGACTTATGGCTTAGACCTAGTCTATTCTTGGTTCCATTGAGCAATCAGTTAGGATCAGTGAAGTTATCACAGTTTCCCTGAGGAAAGGAGTAATGCCATTTGCTTTAAATGAGATGGTTCTGCACCTGCTCTTGAAAAAGCTCTTCCAGGATCCTGGAGATTTTGATAACATTTCCCCTCTCTTCAACCTTCCTTGTATGAGGATGGTTGCTGAGAAAATGGTACTGACTCAGCCCTAGAAGAAATGAATCCTACAGATTAATATCCAGTCATGGGGCAATAACATGATAGATCACCCTAGTAGACTAACTTTGTTGATACATAGATGAAGTGTGCCCATCTTGGTGGCTATGATACCTTACTGAACTTTCTGCAATAACTGGGAACTGCAGAAAGTGTACAATAGTCCTTGACTTACAACCATTCGTTTAGTGACTGACGTTACAACAGCACTGAAAAAATGGATTTATGACCATTTTTCACACTTATCATTGCAGCATCATGTGATCACATGATCAAAATTTGGACACTTGGGAATTGGTTCATATTTATGGCACTTGCAGTGTCCCGAGGTCATGTGATCACCATTTGCAGCCTTCTGACACAGTCAAGGGGAAAGCCAGATTCACTTTACAACTATGACACGTAACAACTGCAGTGATTCACTTAACAACTGTGACAAGGGAAGGTTGTAAATGAGGCAAAATTCACTTAACAACTGTTGCACTTAGCAATAGAAATTTTGGGCTCAGTTGTGGTCATAAGTCAAGGACTACCTGTATTACAGTTGGTCTCTTTCCTATCTGGATTTTTAATGTAGTTATGGGGAAACAGTACTTTAAACCTTCCAGTGCTCAGTATCTCAGGCTTGGTGCTTTCCTCCAAGCTATTTAATATCTATATTGAGCCTGATGGATAAGTTGTCAGGAGTACAGGTACAGGGCACACTCAGATTCAGGTGAAAGTACATGACACAGGAAATACAAAGCCTCAAACAGGAACAGGAAACAACCTCAAAAACCCGAGAAGTTATAAAAGCCTACCACTCCCAGCAACATGTGGTCAGCTTTCCCATAGCCATCTTTCTGTCTGGCTCTATGGAGGATGCTATTTCTTCCATTCTCTGTCTGAGCTTGAAGCACTTAGAGGAAAGAAATATTGCTTGTCGACTTCAGCTTGGCGTTTAACACAATCATTCCCCAGCATCTAGTAGACAAACTGGGCCTTTTTGGCTTAAACACTCCTTTGTGCAACTGGATTCTTGATTTTCTTAACCAACAGGCCCCAATATGGGCGAGTTGGAACAAATACCTCCAATACCATTTTCTTGAGCACAGATTCTCCTCAGGGCTGCATCCAAGTCCGCTGCTGTTCACCCTGTTCACCCTGTTGACCCATGACTGTTGTGCTAGGTTTGCCACCAATCATATTGTGAACTTCGCAGATGATACAACAGTAGTGGGCCTTATTCATGATAACAATGTTGATGCTTACCGCAAGGAGGTTAAGGGGTTGGTGAACTGGTGTACGGAAAACATCCTAGTTTTAAATACCAGAAAAAACGAAAGAGATAATTGTTGATTTCAGAAAAGGCAGGCACAGTCACACTTCTCTGTGCATTAATGATTCACCTGTGGAGATGGTTACCAGCATCAAATTCCTGGGTGTGCAGCTAACAAGTAGGCTAGTTTGGTTGCTCAACAGCGAGACAATGGTGGGCACAGCAGTGCCTGCATTTTCTGCGTCGCATAAGAAATGCACATCTTCCTTCTCCTATCCTTACTACTTTCTACAGGTGGACGGTTGAGAGCATCCTGTCATACAGCATCACAGTCTGGTTTGGAAGCATCACTGCTTCAGACAGGAAGGCGGTGCAGTGAGTGGTGAGGATGGCTGAAAAGATAATTGGCAGTTCCTCCCTCCCATCCTGGACATAGCACAGAAGTGTTGCTTGAGGAGGGTCCATAAGATTATCTGGGACACTACACATCCTCTTCACGACTTGTTTTCCTTGTTACCTTCTGGGAGGAGGCTTCGTGGTATCCGTAGCAGAACATCCAGATTCAGCCATAGTTTCATTCCATACAGCATTAACCTTGTGAACTCTCAAGCCTCCTTCTTCCGTTATATATTCAAGATGGACAGTATTTAATATTTGTCATGTATATGTACGGGTGTGGGTCTATACATATATTGTATATAGTATGTTTAGGTGTCATGTATGTTTCACTTAGACAGCAGGCAACTCAATTTCATTTTTGATGTGTGCCGTTGTGCCCACAGTTAAAAAAAAATGACAATAAAGGTTATCTTTTTTCTAAAGCAGTCTCCATTTTGTTTATTCCTGGCTTGGACTGGATCCTGATGATTTTTTTTCCCCACACTTCCTTTGTGTAACTGATAAGGTTCACCTGACCTGCTAAAATTACCTGAAGTTTACAAACCACAATACTTAAATTCACATAATAATCATGTTCCCTACCATGTAAAAGTACCTTACCACAGATAGGGTTTAAAACCAAGCAATATTTTGTTCTTTTTCCCCAAATGAATGAATAACCCAACACAAAGTTTAATATTTCCCAGTTAGAAGAAACTATCCAGGAGTCAGTCAGTCTATCTGCGTGCGCGTTCTCTTCAATTGTTTTCCAATCAATTCAGGCAATTGCCATTTTCTGGTCAAAATCACCCGCCAAAGGTGAGGAACAACTTTTCGCAAGAGAACCACCTAAATCCATTAACTATTTCTTGCTGGGATCAGCCTGGGATTCCCAGGCGATCTTAATCCAGCCAGCTGTGCTAGCAGATCATCCATTCTTGCCATCCCGCTGCGGGACGGGGAGGGGAAGGGCAGAGAAACGTCGCGGAGAGATTCTCCGTCCTCCAATAGAGACTCGAGAGGGGCGGGCTAATACAAGCTGAGTGGCGTAGGACCCCGCAGAGCCGGCAGCCGGGGGCGGAAGTGGCTGTCTGTGGCCGGTTGAAGACTGGGACCGTTGATTCACGCCTGGGAGTGGATGTAGAAGAGCCCGACGAAAATGCTGCGATTGGTGGCTGGGCTGATGGCGGTGGCGGTGGTGTCGGTGACAGTGTTGATGGATCGATACAGTTTTGCGGGGCCACAGCAACCCCGGCTCCCAGCTCGCTCCTTCGCTTCCGAGCCGGCGCCCGGGGCGGAAGCCAACAACCTTTTCTGGGTGGTTCAGGCAAGTGGCTGCGGGTGGCACGGCGTGCAAGCTGCCGGCGTTGGTTTCTCTTCAATTGCTCAGACCTGTTAGAAGATGCTGTATTTTTGATAGAGAATCATACGTGGCTCACCAAAATTACGTTCGAGTTTCAAGATACTGGTTTTCTTCCCCCCACCCCCCCAGATTCAGAAGAGTAGAGGACAAAATGGTAAAAGGAGAGACTAATTGGAGACACTATTGAGGAATGATGAAAGAGGAGGAAATGATTAGTTCCAACCAATAAAGAGTCACTTTTCCAACTTGCTGGATTAAGATGACTTGAATCAGCTGTTCACGAACCATAGTCGGATAGAAAAGTTCATTATACTGTTGAATCCTGTTTGGTGATACTGTGCATTCGTATCTTTTGGGGGAGGGTGGGGGGGGTGGAACCCTATAAAATGAGCTGCTGATCTGTTCTGCTATACACTACATGACTTTTAAAGGTGTGTTTCATTGTATGTGTGGGAAACCATGAGTCACCTAAAAGGGCTAGTTGTGAAATTAAACTATTATTGTTTAGAATCAAGATTTTTTTTCAGTTAACACTTTTTTTGTATATCTTTCTGATACACAACTGTTTTTGTGAAGAGTTACTAGATGTCTAATTTCTTTTTTTTTAACATCAGCCTGTTATTGTTATTGTAGGTAACAGATCTGCATATCAGTAAGTTTGTGAGTCCCAGTCGAACTTCTGATTTTGAGAAGTTCTGTAAGGAAACAATTCCCATAATTCAACCTGCTCTTACTTTAGTGACAGGTGAGGTTTTTTTTGTTTGTTTGTTTCATCATTTTTATATATTACACCCTAAATTCTTTGGGGAATATGCTGCAGTGCTGGTTACTTGTTTGGTAGGACTGTCTTTAAAATTAAAAAAACAAGCTGGGCCACTGAAAGGTTATTACATAAGTTCTAAGCATTAGAGGGAATCCCCAAAAACTTCATATACCAGAAACAGTTCCTCCTCCACTTTCTGCCACTTTTGCAACTGCGTATTTGCTTTCTCTTGCAGACAAAAGTAAATATGCAGTTTATTTATCTAGACTTAGTAGTCCTCTGATAACAATCCGCTAACATTGACTAATTTCAAAAAAATTAAACTGGGCTGTTAGTTTTGGATGGCAAACCACAAGGTAAGTTCATGGCTGTAAGTTAAATTGGGTAAATGAAGTAGTATTCCCCCAAAACTATATTAACATGTCAGCCCATCATATGATTTTGTGCCTAAATATTTGTTTGAGAGCTCTGTTAAGATCCGTCATCCTCTGAAAGAACCTGAGTGGCACAAAATGAACTTTTTCAGTCATAATATGTCCAACAAAATATCTTGTCTGGAGTGGAAAGACTGGCTTGCATATTTAAGACTTATCTGTTTTTCTAACAGTGTTTATCTACTGATTGTTTGACATTCTGTTTATCATTTATTATACACTTAAATGCATGTATACATACAGACATGTTGAATAACTAGTTAGAATTAATATTAATCTGAGATCTTTCAAGAAACACCTCACAGATTTTTTTTTTGCTGACCTTAGAAACAGAGTTAATCTAGTTAAGATTAGTGAACTGTTAGTATGCTAATATGGATATATATAAATACTACATGTCGCTGGTTAAGAAAAAAGGTTGGCCAGTTGAGGGTCACTAGCACTTGTTGATGATTTTGCAGTTTATTAGATGATAGGTAGTCTTTTTTATAGCGTGAAAAGTCTATGAATATATTTCAAGCCACTTCTAAAGTATCTTTGGCAGCAGCTGGTAGGCTATTTAGGTTTGGATGAAGGGTCAGATTACCCCACTGCATGCTCCTCTACAGTGCAGTATGGCATTGTGCCTCACTCCTATATGGCTAATAGAATTTAAAATTAAAGGACTTTATTCAAGTCAATTTGGGATAGGAGCTGATTAACAAGCTAAACTGTCTTCTCTGCCTTGTTCTTCAGAAATCTTGTTCTGAGCCAGATTCTCTGGTTCAGACAATTTCCTAATAGAAGCCTATCTATGATTTATTATGTTTACTGAGAGGAAGAGCCAGGTGGTCAGATTAAAGCAAAATTTTGCAAATTCTGATATGCTGTAGAGCAGGAGTAAACAATTTTCCCAAGAGGTGACAGAAGAAACTGGGACTGTTATGTAGGAGTGCCACCGCTGCCCTCACTTCCCCAGCCACCTTTATGGGCTAGATGTGGCCTGCGGGCTGTAAAATGCTCAGGTCTGCTGTAGAATATAAACCCTATGTAACAATGTGTAGAGCACAATACTGACATTTTCTGTAAATTCAAAGAAACATACAGTCATAATAAGGTGGTAATTCGCTGCAGTAGTGTCAAACCTGATTTCTAAATAGATTGTTGTCACTGGCATTTGGTTTATTCTACATTCTTCTGTTGTTCATTGGGTTCTAGAGCTATTCTATTCATTAAACAGGTGACTTGACTGATGCCAAAGCAAAGGATGGACTTGGGTCTGATCAGATTGAGGTGGAGTGGCAAACTTACCAGACAATCCTAAAAAGATCTAAGGTCATGGAAAAGACAAAATGGATAGATATAAAAGGAAATCATGGTAAGACAGAGAGAAGACTTTAGGCACGTAATTCTAATTTTATGTTGATCATTAGGAAATGCTAGACTGTCATAACCCCTCATTTAACCTTGTTTAATTTTTTGATATTACATAAATTATTTAAATCATTTATATACCATAACATTTTAAAAGTGTCTGAAATCATTATGAAAAGAATAAATATATTTAAAGTAAGAGAATATTGTTTATATATTTAGCTTTTCTTGTAATTTTATTTTGCCCATTCTGTTGTAAATTTCCTTAAATAATATAATTTTAGCTTCGCCAAAAAGCCTCTTAGCGTTTGGTTTCCTCCCTAGCCATCCTGCTTCTCTTTTAAGTTCATAACTGCAATGATGTTTTTTTAAACTTAGACTACTTTTTTTATTCCTAGCTTTATCATGAAATTGGATCGAAATGTTTACCATTTTCATTGCAGATACATTCAACGTTCCTAGCCTGGAGAGTGTTCGTAATTACTACAGGTATGTTAGCATGTAATGATGGTTTCAGCAGTCCAGAAAAATATACAATGCACAGAAATTTCTATTTAAACAAGATACATGTACCGAAAAGTTGACTCTACACACATTTTATCAATTAACTATTTTAAGATCAGTTATAGGGTTTTCCCTTTTATTCAGTTGTGTCCAATTATGAAAGACTGCCTGGACAAGTCCCTTTTTTTTCAGAAGTGGTTTGCCATTGCGTGCTTCCTAAGGGCTGAGAGTGATTAGCCCAAGATCACCCAGCTGGCTTTGTGTCCAGGACAGGACTAGAATCCAAGTGTTCTAGTTTCTAGCCTGATACCTTAACCATATACTAATCTGGCTCTCCAATTACAGGTAACCAAGACTCTTTTCTCCTTTCTGTACTATTTGGTAGCTGCATTTTTTTCTTTAACCTTCTGAAGGAAGGAGTGAGGAAATTCAAGTTTTGAAATTTAAGTCACATTATTGTTATTACTACTACTACTACTACTACTACTATTACTATTATTATTAGGCTAACTAAGAATGGAGATGAACTGTTAACATATCTGTTATCCTTACAAGCTTCTCACGTAACATATTTCTCCTTCTGATTAGATTTTTCTTAAAGTCCTTTTCTTTGGCAGGAAATATTCTGTGTGGCAGAAAGATGGCTCCTTTCATTATGTTCATAGAACACCTTTTGGAAAATATTCTTTCACCTGTGTGGATGCAAGTCTTGATCCAGGTCCCAAGAGACCCTACAATTTCTTTGGGATATTAAATGAGGTAATGTTAGAAAAAACAATGTTTTATCAAATCAAAAGGTCAGAAAAAATTGAGGCCAGTTGTGTGTCTTACATATGTTAACCCTAATGTCTGAATGAAGTGTTCCAAGTACAGGTAGTCCTCTGCTTACAATAATTCGTTTAGTGATGTTCGAAGTAATAACAGTGAAAAAAATGGACTTATGACAGTTTTTCACCTGATCGTTATAGCACTCCCATGGTCACATGATCAAAATTCAGATGCTTGGCAACTGGTTCATATTTATGACATTGCAGTGTTCCAGGGTCATGTGATCATCTATCGCGACCTTCTGACAAGCAAAATGAATGGGAAAGCCAGATTCACTTAACAAACAACCATGATACTAACTGAACAACTGCAGTGATTCACTTAATAATTGGCAAGGAAGATCATAAAATGGGGCAAAACTCACTTGACAACTGTCTCACTTTGCAACAGAAATTTTGGGCTCAGTTGTGGTTGTAAGTCAAGGACTACCTGTATTCACATATACTTGTCAGTATTTCTTCCTACTTTCAGTCTTCGAGATATGCAATATTTTATCAATGATGTTGGTATGCCTCATATCTCTGAAAAGTGAGCATTTTCAAAGAGATAGTAAATTTAGTTTCCTGTGGCGTGAGTTTCATTTGCAGTCACCAAATCTTTTCATGAGATTTAGTTTCCTATGGGATAAAGGATCAGTGGAGATTTAAGTAGTTTTGAAATAATATATGTCTCTAGCAAAACACCCATTCCTTATTATGGTTTCTTTGCACATAGACCTCCATTGCATTCCTTAGCTGCAAAGGGGGAAAAATGGCCCTCTATCCCTACTTTGGGTCACAGAGCAATCTTCAGGGATAGATAGGTTCTATAAGAAGGCCATCATCTAATTATTCTAAATTATTAGTCAAACTCAAGATTCTACTAAGTATTTCCTTAAGGGAATCTGTCAGAGATAATCATAAAAAGAGTGTTAAGACAATCTGTTGAGAATGTTTTTCTTAAATATTCTACTGTTCTCTCATGATCATGTTGTTAATGTGATATAGAAGATTCTTTGGCAGCATTAGAAAGATCAGACCCAGTCCAGAGCTATGTCTACATTCTAACATACACATATAGTTTCTGTGAAACAGCACGATTGTATGAACACCTTGCCTTTACAGGTAGTTCTCAATTTACCACAGTTCATTTAGTGACTGTTCAAAGTTGCAATGGCACTGAAAAAAGTGACTTATGATCATTTTTTGCAACACTGTTGCAGTATCCCTCTGGTCACATGATCAGATGCTTGGCAACTGGTACATATTTATGATGGTTGCACTGTCCTGGGGTCATGTGGATATAAAAATAAAATCTGTGTTTTTTTAATTGTTAAATGGGAGCCATTTGGAGATGATTCTTCTTTATTTATTTTATTAGATTTGTGTGCTGCCCACTTCATCTAGAGGCGATTCTGGGTGGCTTACAAATATTTAACTTTACTTGTAACTAGGACTTTAAAGATGTTCATGGCTTCCAGTACTAATATTGTGTTTAAAAATTGCATGTTGACTGTTGGCAGTCAATTTACTATTAAAACTTTTGCACTTTTTCATTTCAGAATAAAATGACGGAGTTGTCTGCACTGATCTCAGAAAGTCATGATAATAACCATACCATTTTGTTTGGTCATTACCCTACCTCATCAATCATCTCTGTATCTCCAGGAATACGAGCAGCCATGCGGTATACTATTTAAAAAAAATTTTTTTTTTGAAATATATGAATTGTTTATCTTCTGCTTTTTAAAATAAATCGTTTGTTTCGTATTAATGAATAACAAGAAATAATTATTGTTAAAATTACAGTGTTAATTGGCCAGAAGTTAATATTTCTAAAAATAATAGTTCTTCATGTTGCAATACCCTTTCCTAAGTAGACAAAAGGTATTAAGAAGATCCCCTTTCCCAGGACATGTATGCTCCTGTAATGGAGAAATCAAAACCACAGTCTCTTCTCCTGCTCATTTTACAGAGACTTATTCACCGGGTTACAAGGCAGTATAGACCAACTTGTCATCCCTGTACTATCCTTTGACATCATCTCCTTCATAATTTATAATATCACCAAGTTCTGAGCAATAATGTGCAAAAAATGCCCAGTATTGACTGCCAGATGAAGTCAGACAAGCTTGATGTAGTTCAGTTCTATACCGAGGGTATTTGTCTGTTCTCAGTTTTACAGCATTTCTTGGCACTATTTTTTTATTTTCAGCTGTTTAAATGGCATAGTATGAATTTTGGATTCATCTCTAGTTTTGAATTCCCCTCTTTTAATTCAGTAATCCCAGTATTTTTAATAGTTAGACATAGTTTGTTTTTTAAAATTATAGTTGCTAAGCTCATGGTTTCTTTTCTTAGACTTTATAATGGCAGAAGTTCAGAGTAATGATATTGTATGCTATACATTTTTTTTTATTAAAAGTTTTACAAATTATAATATAAACCCACCCATCCCCTCCCCCACTTCCCAGAGCTGATTACAGGGTAACAAATAAACAAACATACTCTAGCTAACATAAACCAACTAAACTATCAATCAAAACCATAATACACTTTAATTCCTTCTCAAAACAAATATTAACAAATTAAGACAAAAATAATAATACCATTAATACTATTAATAATTATCTAAAATCTATTCAAAAGCAAGATAATACTTTTCAGTTTTATACTTCTTCTGAATATAATCAATCCATTTTCTCTTATGCTATACATTAATGATATATTTTGCTTTGATTAGTTTTGCCTTAGTTTATTTGTGTGGGCACTTCCATACATTGGGTGGCCTGATGCCTGTCCTTCATACTCGTCATCCTGATGGAACTTTAGAACTGGAGTTGGGAGACTGGAAGCATAGTAGGAAGTAAGTAAACATCCAACGCAAAGGCAATCTTTATTTTTTTTCTATTTTCTATCATTTCTTAGTGCCTGGAAGCTGTAGGGGTCTGGATGGGGGACAACAAGCTTCAGATGAATTTGGCAAAAGAGAGTGGTTGTGGGTGCAAGGGACCTCTGGATCCAGTTGTTTATCATTTTTAGTTCTAGATGGCATGGTTGCACAATATGCAAACTGGAGGTTCTCCTGGACTCATGACTCCTGCTTGAAGAGCAGGTGGCAATCATGATTAGAGGGGCTTTTGTGCAATTTTGTGTTGTGCGCCAGTTGAGCTCTTACTTGGATAATAAGGGACTACACATAGTCATTCATGCCCTAATCATCTCTTAGTTGGATTACTGTAACATGGTCTACATGGAGCTACCCTTGAAGAGTATTTGGAAGCTATAGCAAGTGCAGAATGCAGCAGCATGCACAATTCTGTAGGCCCCTAGAGTGGCACATATTACACTGCCATTGTACAAGTTGCGTTGGTTCCAGTTTGCTTCTGGGCCCAGTTCAAGGTATGTTTCAATTACTTTTAAAGCCCTATATTGCATGAGTCAAGAGTATCTTAGGAGCCATCTCACTCCAAAGGGATTAACTCACACATTCGTGCCATCAAAAGAGGTCTGCTACGGATCACATCTGCTAAGAAAGTCCGTGGGAAGGTCAAAGACAAGAGCCTTTTTCGCTGTGGTCCATTCTATACCACCAGAAGGAAAAACTTTCCCACCCTTTTGGACTTCCAGAAGGGTGTTAAAACATGACTTTGCTAGCTAGTTTGGGGCCACGAAGGGACTGCTCACCACTGGAGATGGCTGACAGGGTAAGATAAACCTATCCCTGTACCATCTGTCTCTTGGTTCCTGGGTTTTGTTTGTTTTTTGCATAATTTGAAAATTTTAACTCCTTTTCTATTTATCTTTTTGTGATCTGTAAGTGGCCCAGAATCACCTTATTAGGGAGATGGGTGGCATATACAATTAATAAAATAAATAAATAAATATCTTCTATTCTTTAAGATGTTCCTTGTTAATTAAAATATTATTTTAATTGTTGAATATCAGGTATCGGATTCTTGCTTTTGATCATGATCTCTTCAGTTTTGCTGACCTGAAATTTGAAGAATGGCCTGTAGTTCTTATCACCAATCCTAAATCATACCTTTATAGTAGCTATGCTCACGAGCCGCTACAGAGAATTCTTCATTCTACCCATATTAGGTAACTTACATGTTTTGAAATATATGGAAGTTTCATAGAAATATTAGCAATGATGTGGGGGCCAGTCAAGTTAATCACTCTTGCAGTTGCTTGCATCATCTTTGTTGTAAAGTCTACATTTTTCAGCCAACTTTCTCATTGCTTGTTTATTGTTCTTTTTTTTTAAATGTAAAAAATAGAAAAAGCATAGTAGAGGATGGGGGGGGGGAGAAGGAATAGTTAAATCCTTTATGTCCATAATTAATTCCTTGCATAGTGTGAATGATGAAAAGGACTGTAGCAACAGAGATGTTTCTTCTGAAGCAGCTCTGCTTTGTCAATGCTCTAGGAACCCTTTCTTCTGGCAAAATAATGGTAGCTGCTTTGTCCAGCAACAAAATATCTAATTTCAGACAACATACTAAAACCATACTAATAGCAAGCTAGCCGGTATTAAACCATTATTACAAATTATTGTTATCCTGTTTTGCCTTAGCTGCATTTTGACCCATAGCCTGGGTTGAAATGACACACAAAGTCAAATACAAGATTGCTTAACACAGTATAACGTGGGCAGTGACTAGGTTTATGCAAGCTTCTGAGCCCTGATTTGTTTTTCCATGTTTCATTGAATAAAAGCATAATGAGCTGGGTTTACACAGTGTTTTAAGTTAAAAAAATAAATCCAAACAAGAGTACTTGCCGTCACTTTGTTCTCTCTCTTTTGCACAAAACACTGCAAAGAAGAGAATTACTTGCATAACTTGAATCAGCATTTGTAGCTAAGGACATAGTTAGATTCCATTGGTGCTTACTTTGACTGCAGAGGTTTGAATTGTAAAAGAAGCTTTAGCCAAAAATTCATTTAACTGGAAGGTAACAGTCTTACAAAGAAGTACTACCATTTGTATTGTTAATTCAGAGAGGAATACCATAGAAGTATGGTTCTTTTTATACTATATAATAATGTCTCAAACAATAATAAAATTTATCCGCTAGAATGTGTAAATTATACTGGTGAGTAAAGGCTGGAAAAAAAATCCTGAAGTTATGTTCTCCTGCATTTTTCTTTTACTTTGCTGCTGTTACAAACCACTTTTATTTCACATTGGTTTTCCAAACAACCATTCTACCAATTCTATCTTTTATTTATCACAGTCACGACTATAACAAAATAGCAAATTGTTGTAAATTCTTCAGTGAGGGGAATATGTTTTTCTCCTATAGTATTACAGTACATGTAAACATAGTGGCTTTTATTTAAGCATATCTGTGATATCATTAATAAGTCCCGCTATATTCTTGTACTTAGAATTTTGGCCTTCTCTCCTTCTCCTATCAAGTTTGTCAAGATCATGATTGATGACATTTATCTTGGAGATGCTATTCAGGTGTCTGGACCTCTCTATGTCTTGAAATGGTCCCCCCAAAATTACAGTCAAGGATTTCATCAGATAGCTGTGACTGTCGAGGTGAGTTCTCTGCTACTGTTCATCATTCTATCATATATTTACTGAAAAATGCATTTGGCAGAATCTCTGCTTATCCATGATTATTCAGTAGGTAACCTTGGGGACATTACTGCCTCCCAGCCTCTCTAAGCAGGAGCAGTACGCATAGCATAAGGATAGGTATGTTTCAACAACATGGTATCTGTAGACACCAATGTATCCACAGGTGCCTTTAAACACCCATCAGGCTCCATAGCCAACTTCATTTTTTAAAAATTATTTTAATACGAAAATTAAAAGGGAAACTAGCATGCTGCAGAGCACTCACCTCAAATATAATACTTCATTTCCAAAATAAAAACGTCCCCAGTGTATTGCAGAGTTTTCTCAGAAGTCTGGCTATTGCACAAAAGGAGGAGGAAGAAGGAGGAGGGGAGAGGAGAAGGAGATTCATGTAGGAAGATGATGGTAGTCTCTCACTAGCAATAGCACTTAGACTTATATAACACTACATAGTGCTTTACAGCCACTCTGAGCTGTTTAGAGTCAGCATATTGCCCCCAACAATCTGGATCCTCCTTTTACCGACCTCGGAAGGGTGGATGCCCGAGTTAACCTTGAGCCAGTCAGGATTGAATGCCAGGCAGTGGACAGAGTTAGTCAACAATAATTGCATTCTAACCACTATGACACCACAGCTCCTTCTGGTAAATGGATATTTACTGACTGGGCAAACCCACCTTAGCAGACATTTTATGACAATACCTTCAATGTGCTTTCAAATGATTCTACTACCCCAAACAGTTGGGGAACCTGCCATTCTGGAAAAGAATGAGGAAGAAAATCTAAACTACTGGTTTTGTCTCAATTACTTGGCAGCACAGTTAAACAGTGAAACAAAGAATGGGTCAGCCATTCAATGATATGACCAAAATTAAATGGTGTACAGTAAGGACTGGTAGAAAGTATTTAAGCAGCAAATAATGAAGAACCCTAAATATGCAAGTCTGCTGTTAGAATATACCATAGCTGTTAGTTGCTTTTCTATTATACCATATTGCATCATAGAACAGAAGTGCCCAAATTTAATGGAGGCATGTAGAAATTTGGGAGTGGTGTTACTAGGATAGTAGAGAATTTTAGAAAAAATGTAGTGTAGACAATCCAGTCGTTTTCAAAGGAAGTAAGGTAGGCAGATTATTGGAAGAGAGGGAGGTGCTGAAAGGATTGGCAGGTGTGTCATAGGAACATCAGGGACTGTATGAGCTTATGGGAATAAGAGAAGGCACTGCTAGAATTGGGGCTCAGTGGGTTAATGGTTTGATTAACAGCAGATCTATAGGAAGATGAGGACTGGAAACCTGATTTGCGCAACAGGGCAGATTGATTTAACAGAAATCTTCCCTTTGGGTGGGGAGCTGAGGGAGGGGCTAAAAAATAAGAAAATGGAGCATAATACTGAAAAGTTTAGTAATCCTTGTTTTGGTCCTGTTTTTAGGATGCCAGTGGTAGAAGTGCCACTCAGCTTCATACATTTGCTATGCAGGAAAATCTTTCTCTTAAATTTGGTCTTTTGGCATCTTGGCTTCTTCTTAATGATCATTATATATGGGTAAGTATTCTTTCAGATAAGGAGATGAACAGTAGACGGATGGATAAACGGATGGATGGATATATGGATATACAGGTAGTCATCGCCTTACAACCATTTGTTTGCTGACTTTCGAAAGCTACCACAGCATTGAAAAAAGTGACTAACAGCTGATCCTCACCCTCACACTTGTTGAACCATCCCATGGTCATGTCATCAAAATCCAGGCACTTGGCAACCTGCATGCGCTTATGTTGGTTGCAGCCTTCTGGAGTCACGTGATTTTTTCCAGTCTTCCCAACCAGCTTCCTAGAAGTAAAGTCAACGAGGCAAGCCAGATTTGCTTAAAGATTGCATGACTCACTTAACGATGACAGTGATTTGCTTAATAACCGTGACAAAATAGGTCATGAAATCAGGCACAACTCACTTAACCACCTTGCTTAGCAATAGAAATTCGAGTCCTAATGGTCGCCTTAAGTCGAGGACTACCTTATACAGACATTATTAATGAACTTTTGAGTTGCGAATTTTTGCTGATACAAACTGATGTGTCTGTACCCGGAAGTCAGGAAAAGATGGGCAGGTTTGCTTGTATTGGCAATATATATATATATATGGTGCGCTGGAAACAAGCTTCCTCTCATCTTCTCCTACTCTGGGGACCCTCTAGGGTGGAGTTGTGGACAGGCACAGTGCAGATCTCACCCCACATAAGTAGCGGCATTGCAGCAAAACCTGATGGATCCAGTGAAGTGGGAGAAAGTGGGAAAGGAAGTTGAGAGAAGACAGGTGTAATGAGAGTTGTGTTGGGAGAAGACAGGTGTAATGGGATTTATTTATTTGTCAAATTTATTGGCCTCCCATCTTACCTCAAGGTAACTCTGGGAGGCTTACAATCATAAAAGATACAAACTACATAAATTAAAAATATAAGTAAGTTAGTACAAAAAGTCAAATACTACAGTGCAGTTAAAAGATGAGGGCAGGAGTAGGACGGGAGAGGAGGTAGAATCTGTTGTTAATTGATCACTCACCTCCACTGTGCTGCTGCCCCATTGGAGCCCCAAGCTAACTGGCAGAGCCAGGTCTTTAGGCTCTTAGGAAAAGTCAGGAGGGTTGGGGCCAACTTCACATTGAGGGGCAAGATGTTCCAGAGGACAGGTGCAATGGCAGAGAAGACCCTTTTCTGGGTCTCTATCAGCTGGAATACTTGGGCTGACGGGGCCTGTAGCATGGCTCCTCTCCCGGCACAGGTGGGGTGGGCGCCTTCCAATGGGCTGAGATGATTCCTCAAGTAGCCTGGACCCATTCCATGAAGGGCTTTAAAAGTGATCACCAACACCTTGAATTGCACCCGGAACCAGACTGGCATGCATGGAAACCGTTGTTTAAGATGGGCAGCCATATAAATCTATACCAGTGTTTCTCAACCTTGACCATGGCTGTGGAATTCTGGGAGTTGAAGTCCACATGCCTCAAAATGGTCAAGGTTGAGAAACACTGATCTATATATTTAATAAATAAATGATAGATAGAGGATGGATGGATGGATGGATGGATGGATGATTATTCGGCTTATAGAAAATATGGTGGCCTGTGCTGTGGTAGTTGTATCCCTATATACTTGGATGATCCTGTTACTTTTGGAGCTGCACTAGCTGCTGATTGGCTTCTGTATGCAACCCAAGGTGTTGGTTGTGACCGGTAAAGCCCTACATTGCTCTGCAGCAAGTTATCAAAAAGCCTACCTTCTATGGGATCATCAATGGTCTCTGAGTTTCGTTGTTTGCTTGCAGAGATTTCATTACCCAACTAGGTAACACCATCGATGCAAGTGAGTATAGGGTTTGCTCTCGGTTTAGATTCAATGGTCTGCCCTGCCATTTTTGACAGTGGTTTTCTGGTAGTTTCTTGATTAGGGTATTGTTTTCTGTTTATAGTATCTGGTGTTGGCAGCTGGAGAGGTTGTACTCTGGTCTTTTTGCTTCCTTCCTAATTTTTTTACTGTCTCTAGGAAATTCTTTGTGGTACAGGAGAGAAGTAGCTTCTGTTCACATACTTCTTAATAATAGAGAAAGTTAGTTAATAAAAGCTGACCTTTTTATTTTTCATTTTCAAAATATATCAGACTGTTTTTGACTTTTTTTTTCAGGTACGCACACTCTTTGTTTTACTAATTATATTTCAAGTTGTTTTGCTGATTATTTTCCGGTTTCGAGAAAAACCTAAATTTAAAGGTAAGAACAATTATGCTGATACTTTTTCCTTTCATCCCCTCCCCATTTAATTTTTCTTCTTTCAGAACTGATGGAATGTTGAAAGGAAATTATGGGAAAGGGTCTCAGTTCTCTCCTTATTGTCCAGAATAAGTCTCTGAAGACTGAACATAATAGATCTAAAGTTGCTATCATGGGAAAAATCACAAAAGAAAGATTTAGCTCAATAACAGGCCAGATTCAATTGGCGGCTGCAGAGAAAAATATTACAGAGAAAAATTCACAGTACCTCCTACTCAGAGAGATAGTTGTGCAGTGACTGAGATTATTGCAGTTTAAGTCTTGTCTGTCCCCCTGCTCCCCTGATCATTTGTCTCAGAGTGGAGAGTATGCAGCCTGCCCTACGCACAGGGCAACATGCACACACACATAGAAGAAGTCCTGGCAGAGAGCAGAACATACTACTTCGTTACATAGAAAAAAAAATAGACCCTTCTGCATTTGGCCACTGCTGATAAAGAATTCTAAAAGCCATGCTCAGTGTACTTATCCTACTATGTTTTTATATTTGAATGGAATGCTTTTAAACAATATTCCAAGTGAATTTCTATTTGAAACTCTCACGAGATCTTAGCTATCATTGAGTATCTTTTAATTTGCCTAGAGTCGATTATAATATCAGTTATTAGGTTACCTTTATTGTCATTTTTTACTGTGGATACATTGGTACACATTAAAAATGAAATTTTCTTGCTTGCCCTCAAAGGTGTACACAAACATAACACACATTTGAACATCCTATATACAACGTATGTATAACCCTACATCCTTACATATAAATAACGTATAAATATTAATCACTGTCCATCTTGAATACATAGTAGAAAGAGGAAGCTTTAGAGTTCACAAGGTTAATACTGTCTGGAACAAAACTGACTGAATCTGGATGTTCTGCTTCGGATGTTGGCAGTAACATTGGTGTACACAGTTGAAATGAAACTGTTTTTTTTTTTAAATTATCCCATGCCTATGTCAGTCCCCACATTGCCCCAAATATGGAAGACAGATATTGATTATAAGCTGTACTCAGCTAGCCTCCTTTATACTTCCAGTATTTTGCTTTTGCAAAATTTGGGCAACATGATGGTAGGACAAACATCAGCAGGTCAGTTGTGATTATTTCCTAGCAACAATATTCTCTCGTACGGTCAGGTTTTCTAACAAGAATATTTTTAGAAATATTCTAAAAATTTGAGTTGGGCTAGCTTTTAATCACATAAAGTAGCTAATAGTTTCCAGTATCAGAATAGAAGTTCATTTTAAAACATTAGGATTTCTCTTATTTTTATTTGTGATAGGGTTTTGATAGTCACATATACATATTTAAAAACCTAAGGGGTGGTTGGGTGGGTTGTAATGTACATCTTGAATTGATTTGGACAAATATATTTAGGACATTTTATTTTATTATTGTAGTTTGTTAGATTTCTCTATACCTTTCCTGCAGGAGTTCAAAGCAATGTATCCTGCACTCCTCTAATTTTTCCTCACAACAATAACCTGTCAGGTTAACTGAATTGAAAGTGATTGCTCCAAAAATCACTTGAATAAATATTGTGGCTAAGAGTGGACTTGAACCAGGTTGTCTCCAGTTCTAGTCCAATACTGTGCCTTCTCTAGAACAAGTGGAAGACTGGTTCTAATCCAGCTTCTCAGTAGCTGTTGATGATGTATCACTTTCTAAAAATGTGACCTGGTATGTTTTCAGCAGTAGCGAGTAATAATTTTGACCTGAGATTATGTTCCTGTTTCAGAACCTCCAGGGGTGGCAGAACGAACCTCTTTTTCTCTTCATGTCCTCAGCAAAACAGATTTATTTTTCTACTCATTTTTGGTGTTACATCTATATACCATTCTAGGTAAGTACGAAGAATGAGGAAAAGCATTTTATTAATTTCTAAAGACTTTATGGCAAAACCTTTTAATAGGGTTCTACATGAAAAAATAATGAGTTCTTACAATGTAACTATTTGGCATTATTTACATTTTAAAAACACAAACAGTTGAATAGATTTTTTTAAAAACAGGAAAATCTCCTTCTGGTCGAGCTCAGCTCCTGATAATGTCGTGGACACGTAATGTACAGTAGTGCTAGGCTTACAACCAGAACTGAGCCTAACATTTCTGTTGCTAAGCGAGACTGTGGTTAAATGAATTTTGCTCCGTTTTACCACCCTTGTTGCCACCAGTTCTTAAGTGAATCACTGCAGTTGTTAAGCTAGTAACTCGGGTTATTAAATGAATCTGGCTTCTCCATTGACTTTGCTTGTCAGAAGATCGCAAAAGAGGATCGCCCCGGGACACTGCAACAATAAAAAATATGGGTCAGGTCCCAAGCATTTGAATTTTTGACCATGGGAAGGCTGCAGTGGTCATAAGTGTGAAAAAATGGTTATAAGTCACTTTTTTCGGTGCTGTTGTTAACTTCGAACTGTCACAAAAAGAACCATTGTAAGTTGAGGACTACCTGTAGAGTATGTATAATAGATTGTTTTTTTTGACTGCGGGATAGGAATAGTTTGCTCTCTTGACCTTTTCCAGGATAGTTTTTCAGCTTCTCAGTCTAGCATATAGTCTTGTAATTTTCTGAAAGCCCTCCATTCAAGAACTAACCAGACTTGATCTTATGCTTAGCTGATACATATGAGACGATTTCTTAGACACTACGTACCAAGAAGAAAAAATTGGTGAGCTTTGCATGCAGTGGCTTACCAAGAACGATTCCTGGGCATTATTGAGAAGCATACAGAGGTAGTCCTGTACTTACGACTATTAATTTAATGACCATCTGAAAATATGAGAATGCTAAAAAGTGCTTTATGACCGGTCCATACAACCATTGCAGCTTAATGACCATAGTGATCTGCTTAACAGCCATGTCAACAAATTCATAAAATTGCACAGAACTCACTTAACAACCATATTGCTTAGTGACAGAAGTTCTGGTTACAATTGTAGTCATAAATTGAGGATGACCTCTAGTCAGGCCTCGCGTTGATTAAAAAAAGCAGCATCCCTGCTCGAAACCAAGATGTTTCTGATAATTTTGCTCAAATCTTCACTCTCTATATTTTCAAATATTACTGTTTGCTGCTTATGATAAGCTTGTAATGCATCTTTTTTTATTGATTTGGCCACTGAGTCCATGACAGAAGTGATGGCCAAACCCACATTTCTCAATCACATCTACTTATTGGAACATAGCATCACTTTAAAAAAAATGCCTATTTTAAAGTTATATTTTAAAGTGTTTGTACTTTGATTTCTCTTATGAAAGGCAAAGAATAAGATATTAAAAAATTAGAATCCTTTGTTTAATTTAAAAAATCTTAAGTCACTAAATTCACACATTACAATAATCCATAATGTTGTTTGTTTGGTTCTGATTTAACCTGTTGAACAAACCATTCCCATTGGGGTTTAAAAACCATAGTTTATGGTATTATGACCAAGGCATTGTTTGATATGTGAATTAATTAACTGAATAAATTATACTGATCAAATGGTATTATTTACAGGAGTTTGTTACATGCATGGGGTTTTTTTTGCCCTACTGATTATTAGCAAGGATTTCAAACTGGAAAAATATTTATTTAATGCTGTGGATGTGCTTAATATAATACCATTTCCCCCCTATCAGGACCCTGGTTTGTTGGTGAGATTATAGAGGGTCATATGGGCATCTGCTTTTCCTTTGGATTAATTATTAATGGCCATTTCTTTGAAGGCAGCTCAACCTTCCTTGTTGGAATTTTACAGGTAAGACTCTTAATATAATTTTTGATAATGATGTTCTATCTGACCCTTTTTCAAATAATTAAATATGTTATAAGGTTAAAAAAACTTAAGAGACAGCATTGCTTGTTAATATAACTATAATAAGCTTCCAGGGGTACATTTAGTAATCTATTCAGAACAAATTTAAATTTTCATGTAATTGTTAATTACATAGCATAATGTTGAGAGTAGGTATGTACTTGTATGTCTCCCTTCCTCTCCTACCTTTTGACAATAAGATTCTCATGGCACTTATTTATTATAACAATTTATTTATTTACAAAAAAATTGCATAAAAACCATAGTGACAAACAAAAGAACTGAGACCTATATTACAAATAATTATAGCGTGACTGAATAAAGCCAAGTAGTTTGACAATTCACTAATAGTTAAAAAGAGGGAGCCAATAAGCCTACCCTTGGAAGGCCACTGCAGTAAGCCTTGCTACATCTGTCAGACCCTTTCCTGTGTCCCTGCTAACCCACTTGTGAATGCAAATGACAGTCCTGTTTTAGTAAAAGGCAGGGCAAGTGTAAGCCAAGTGTACTACAGAGGAGGGGAAAGACAGCTTTGTCAAGGGGGCAGGATAAATGGGAAATGGCAACCATTTGGGGCCCCACACCTCTCCAGGCTGTGCTTTTTGTAATCCTGAAAAAGGAGACACTCTTTCAAATAATTTCGCCCCAGTCCTTCTAGGATTTTATAGATAATCTCCTGCATTTCAAGACCTATCCACAGATCAGTCACTGAAGGTCATGTAAGACAATAAATAATGTGAAATGAGCCTGATTGTAGCAGCTTTACACAAGATGAAATTTTGAATATTTGTCAGAACAGTTCCACAGAGAGCACTTTATGGACATCTACCTGAATAGGTAGATTTGCTTGAAGCCTGATCTGCTTTTTCCATTATCTCATTAATATGTAGATCTGTTGATGCTCAGAAGTTCTATTTTGAAACTGTATTTGTATATATTAAGCCACCTTTCTGTATTTTCCCACGAGAGAAACCTTTTGTAATTGTAGTTTTTACTTGACTTGAAGACAGCCATAACCTCATTGCTTCAATTGTTTAAAAGTTAATTGTAGGTCATTTTGAGAAATCCTTGATGCTCTCTGGCCTTGGTTGTTTTCTTGCAGACATTTCATTACTCAAACAAACATCATAACAAGATGTTACCTAGTTTGGATAATGAAACGTCTGCAAGAAAACAACCAAGCTCAGAGAGCACCAAGGACCCCTCATTTCAACCCCGAGTTACAAATATTCTCCTTTATTAGTAGATCATTTTGTTTACAAACTCGTCAACTTTAAGATGTGAGGACTTCAACTCCCAGAATTGAAGTGCACAGCCTAACATCTTAAAGTAGCCAAGTTTGAAAAACACTGATGTAGGCTAGTTTCCTGCCTTGGGCCCATAGCACCCTCTATATGTTTGTAGCGATCAACAGAACTTCCTGCTGAGAAGTATGAATTAGTTTCTCTTTTACAAGCATTTTTCTTTAATTCCCCATTTGGCAATAAATTCATCAATTCTTTTTTAATATGTGATCAATGATTTTCAGTGTGTTAATTCCACAACTGTTCTCCCACTCAAGTGGGTAACATATATTGTTTCTTAATATGCGAGGGTGTAATTTTTAAAATGTTGATGCTTTTCAGCTTATTGTAAGATTCTGAGGTTCATAGTGTACAAAACTGAAAGATAAAATTTAGGTAGGGCACTGTTTTAAGTGTTCCAGGAAGAAAGTGGCCATTTTGAATTTTCATATGGAAAGGAACAATTTCTATCTGTTGTCACATTTGCTAGTTTTCTTAGTTACCAGCTTAGTTACGAACTTAGTTATTATAGCTAGATGAAACCTAGCTATAAGAGGCTGAGATCTTGTCAGCCATGCAAGAAAGACCAGACAGGGAACATGGCCAGATGAGTTAATTCTACTTTATTGTAAAGTTACAGCCTGTCATTCCTACATACTGTTATGACCCAGGGTGGGGCATGTAAGCAACACCGGCAAATGTGAAGGCTTGAATCCCTTTTATTGAACCAACCTTCCCCCAAATCCCTACAGTTTACTTGCCCAAGATTAAGGCTCTAACATGCGCACACACCTCAAGCAGTTCCTTGAAGCTAGCAATCCGAGAGAGAGGGAAGCCTAGTTCTGAGAGCAAAAACAGTTCAGGAAACTTGGGCATGAGCGTCTTCGTTGCACAGAGTTTGCCATGGCTGCGGCCCAAAGCGGAGCCGAGCTGGGTCACTGCAAACTCACAGTCAGCAAGGCTAGGCAAGGCAAAGCAAGGCAGCAAGTCGTCGGTAACAGCAAGGCTTCTTGAATCATGGCAAGTGTTGCTGGCAAATATAACACTTGTTCCCAACAAAAGCCCCTCACCACAGCTTCTCCATAAATCCTAGTCTCCAGATGGGCCTTGTGAAATAGTTGGGTCGACCGGTGCTGACTCTGCCTGCTCTCCATTCTTTGCATTCGGGGATCAGGCAGGAGAGGCAGTTGCTCATCTCCAGAGCTCCATTGCTCCGCTGCCTGCCATTTCCATCTCCCCCCTCGCTCGGTCATCCTGCACTCTCTCTTCCTCTCTAGTGACCCTTCCAAGGCCCAAGGGACCTGGGACTGCTTCGTCCTGCTCCTCTGGTCATTCCTCCTGGACCAGAGAGGCTGTGCCATCTTCCTCCATCGGCCCTGGCTCCATCTCCTCCTCCTCCTCCGAACCAGCTCCAACGGAGCCATGACACATACCATTACAGATCTATTATATGTGCATTTTATTTATGGCTTCATGTGCCAAGTGTTTGGAGTAATTCTGTGTATTTCTACTTCTGCATTCTGAATGTGCTATGAGAATGTTTGTTTTTGTTTGATAGGTGTTGTTTTTCAACCTACCATTGATGGCATACACATGTTGGTGCCTGTTGCTGCGCTGCCAAGGTCAGTGTTTTCGTTCTCATCTGTATCTTATCAAACCATATTGGACTGTGCCCATCCATTTAATCATGTCACTTCTATTTTTCTGGCAAGTCTTTTCCTGTTACTTCTTACTGAAGACATACGGAACTCTTTCTTTTTTTCTCTCTCCATTGAGAACTTGGCTTGTTGTACTAAGTTTCTTCCTGGTTTACAGAATTTGGGCAATGGAATCTATTGTTCTGAGAACCTTTATTGTAGATATGAAGAACTACCAAGCTTCCTAATGCTTCCTTTTTTTCCAGGAGGTTGAAGTATACATTCACTTAAATTGTTAAGTGGCAAAGCTGTGAACTAATTCCGGTTTGTATGTCTTACGTTCTGGTTGCATAGACAATTGATTATGAAGGTTCAGGATTGCCATGAAACCCCTTCTGTCTTTCTCTGTAATAAAACTGTTAGAAAAAAGTGACACCATTTGCCTCAGGAACCACTTTCTTATTATATTTATATTAATAGTCAATGGTTTTGACCACATACTGTTTTAATGCTAAACAAAATTTATGAATGAATGATTGTAATGTTTGGTTAGTGTTTCTATTTTGTGTGTTTATGAGATGATTTACCTAAACATGAGACATTTGCACTTTGCTGAACAGTAACTTAGTCAGCCATAATAGAAGGCCTATTGATCACCTATTGCCCACTTTCCTTTTCAAAACCAGTCATTTCGCCGACTTCAGACTCCATTTTTTAAAATGTTTTTCAAACTATCTTGGGTTTTAACAAAACTTCTGTAGTCTGCCAAAATTTGTTTATATACACTGTACTGTAACAGATTTCATGACAAGAAAAAAGTCATATAATCGCTTAGGATATTATTATTTATAACTGAACAGAGTCCATAATTTCTGGGTTGTTAACATGACACCCAAATAATAGTCTGTTAAGATTCATAATCAGAGTTAATGAAATGCATACCTTTGCTTCAGAAAGCTGTCTTCAGAGTATGCTGTGCAAATTTAGTCATGTGGCTTATAAAATCAAAATCTTTGATTTTGGTTTAGCATATTGTGTGAACTTAATAACGTGTTTTTTAAAATAAATAATACTTAAATATCATACATGTAAAAGTCATAACTTAATATATGAATTCAGATGAAAAAGAAAATGTACTTTCTGCCTGCTTGCCTATGGAAGTTAGCTTTATTTCAAATTCTTGGTGGTTTCCCCTAGTGATTTCAGGTAAGCAGGAATCCACTAAAATGCACATAATTTCTTGAAAACCTCTCTGGATTATTGCTAGTATTAATTTTTTATGTGTATTATTTAAGATATCAATGTAGCCTATTAACAATCAGTTGCTGGAAAATATTGTTGATTTTCTTGGTTCATGATTATTATGCTGAATGAGATCACAATGAGATTGAAATATACAGTGTTCTTTACTTTTGTCATGCAGGAACTGAGATAATCAGTAAAAAATAGAATGTGTTGTATCTTGTTAAAAAATGAATGTGAAAAATACAATTAAGTGTATGCTGTATTTATATGAAAATGAGTCAATTATAGAACTACACATATTAAATGAGCACCTATTGACAACGGCTAAACCTTGTAGAAGTCTCTCTTTAAATGTCCAATACAATTTATCCTATGCCATAATCAATAACTGACCGGATTTTTCACTTTCCAGGATTCAGAGCTTATAATTAGGATGAGTATGGCTGATGGGTCAAGCCACAGCATGTTTGCATGTTTACTGAAAATAATCCAACAGATGTAGTTATAATACTCTATATATCTTGAACATGATATGGCTGGAACTATGTATGTGTATTGTAAAGGAATATAACGGTCACGCTGTAAATATATAAATATTACCTTTGGTTCCTGCCCCCTTGTTTATTTAATAGCATGTACGGGCTGGGTCTGCATATACATTGCATTTTTATTTATTTTTTTCCCCAATATTTGTCTCTTGTAATAAAATGCTTTTGTGTACTATTTATCCAATCTTGTATTTGCTAACATTTTGCTGTCTTATCTGAAAATGTTAACCTGTTGCCTGACACATACAATCATTCTCATGTCTACTTAAAAGTAATTTGTGCAGAATTCACTAGGGTTGATTCAGATAAATATATAAGAATTGCAGGGTAAAAAAATTCCTACTGGAGTACAGGTAGTCCTCGAGTTACAACAGTTTGTTTAGTGACTGTTCCAAGTTACAATGGCACTGAAAAAAAGTGTCTTGTGACCGTTTTTCACACCTATGACTGTTGAACATTTCCATGGTTATGTGATTAAAATTCAGGCGTTTGGCAATTGACTCATATTTATTATGATTGCAGTGTCCCGGGGTCATGTGATCAACTTTTGTGATCTTCTGACAAGCAAAATCAATGGGGAACACAGAATCACTTAACAACTGTGTTACTAACATAACAATTGCAATGATTCAGTTAACAATTACAGCCAGAAAGGTCATAAAATGGGACAACTCACTTAACTGTCTCGCTTAGCAACAGAAATTTTGGACTCAATTGTGGTCATAAGTTGAGGACTACCTATATTAGAGACCCAGTGCTGTTTCTACAGATGCCTTGTTTGCTGCTTTCTTGTTTATCTGATAGAGATATGGATACATGCTGCATGGAACAGATGTTTTGCTGCAAACTTTTGTTTCACAAATTATTAAAAGCCTTCTTAACATATTTTTTCTTTATCACAAGGGAATTCAGAGAATTCCTTTGTCATAATTCTCATGGTCATGACGCTACATTGGATTTTGGAAGCTGGAACATTTGGACATAAACTGTACGGAAGGGTTTTTTCATCCCATAACTTAGTCATATAATTAAGAAATGTCTCTTCTTGTTTAGTGTTCTAATCTAAATAAATGTATGTAACAATGAAATGTTAGAGAAAATAGGAACAGCTAAAAGCATTCATTCACTGTTAATGCATCAGAAAAAATAGTGTATCACAGAAGAGAAGCCAAGCCAGAGAATTACATTAACAAATAAGTTTAATAGATTCTCATTATTGTTTTACTTTCAGTAGTGATTAGAGTGTGATTTATACATAACCAAAACGTAAGTCAATATATGGTTTGTCTAATTGGTTTACTTACTTCCAGGGAGTAAGCCATGGTTTATTTTTTGAAAAACCTTAATTTAAAGTTTTGAAGTTGGTTACAAAATCCTAGTTGTTCAACTATGGCTTACATTTATCCTCAAATTCAGAAACACTACTATAGTATTATTAGAAAATTGCTTTCTAGATATTAACAAAGGCAGAAGAAAACCAAATCACGAATTGGCCAAATGAGCCATGATAATTTGCTTGCAAACATTCCTTCAAACACCTAAAACTAACCTTAGTTTTGTATTACACATACAGAGTTTATATTTCTGCAGCAGTGGTACAGTAATAATATTTTATCATTAGTTACTGAAGACTATGAAACACATTTTGATTGAAAAAGAAACTCTAGAGAGGGAAGAAAAAGTCCTTAAAGAACTTAGAAAAAAATTAAAATTCAAAAGATTTTATTAATCATCAAAATGGGATAGAGATACAAAGGTTAAGACCATACCAGACTATGCAAATATTTCCTTTCTTGGTAGACACAAAATAGGTCAGAAATTGGTTTTATTTGGAAACAAGCACTATCTGTTTTCCAATGTTGCCCCCAGTCATCATAGATACGAAAGCAGCTGTAAGAGGAAAAAAAGATGAAATAATTCAAAAGCTGAAATATTTATGTTGGTATTTTTATTTTCAATACAGAAGTTTTCTGAATTAACTTAAATGTACAAAAGAACATTATTTTTCCTTCAACAGTCAGCCCATGTTGTTAAAGACAGCCAATGTGGTCCAGTGCAGCGGTACCCAACCTTTTGGGCACCAGGGACAAGTTCCCTAGAGAGGTTTTTACATGGACCCGAGGGGGCGTAATTTTGTGTGCTGCCTGCGGATGGGGCTTCACTTGTTTGTGCAGTTTCTGGCATACTGTGGATGACCAGGGGTTGGGGACCCATGATGGTTAAGGAACCAGGCTAGAAGCCAGGAGACTGTTAGATCTAGTCCTTCCTTAGCCATGAAAGTCAGCTGGGTGACCTTGGACAAGTTGCTCACTCTTAGCCCAACTCACTTCACAGGGTGGTCATTGGAGTATTTAATATGTTTGCTGCCTTGAGTTGTTATAAAAATAATAAAGGCAAGAAATCTGTATTCAGGCTGACAAATTTGTTTATGGGGAGAGAGGCAACTTGTTTTCAAATCATTTGAATTAGCTAGCTAGTACAGTATATATGGTATACCACAGAAGTCAATTTCTATATACTGCATATTTCTAATACACTAATGTGCAAGCAGCAGCACCAGCCTATTTTTACGGGACTTGAACAAACTAAGGAGGCTTGGATTTGGTTAATAAATAGATGAAAACCTATCTGGCAAGTGTAGGACAATAGGCTAGACTGGATAGTTTAAACAAATCCGTAGACAGTGAGAAACCAGTTCCATATTGTCACCAAGATAACAACATAGATTTGCTATTATCAGAGCCACACCATTAGCTTGAATTACAAATATACATATATGTAGGACCACACAAATAGGGATTCCTCTCCTTTGCAACCTGATTCTTCACTATGATGAAACAAAAGTTTAAATAAACTTTTTCACCAAAACATAGTGTTGGTACAAGTTTTAAATCTCTGTGTTTTCTTTCATGCGGCTGCATGAGCAATTTTAGTTCAAAGGCTAGCCCCAAGCAGATCCCCACTGATCCAGGCTAAAGCAAAGCAGTGGCCATTGTACCAGCTGATTCTGCATTCTCAACTCTTGTGCAATTATTACAGCAGGATAATGCAAGCACTCAATTGCTCTGAATTGATTAATAACTTCTAGCCTCTACGTGGATTTTCAATTTTGGAATACAGGCAGCCCTCTACTTATGAACAGTTTGCATTCCAAGGAACTATTTGTATGTCCAAGCCTAAAAAGTATACAATTTTTATTTTACCCATTACACAAAGGAAGAACACTGCAAACTAAACCAAGAGATAAGTGAACAGACAGGACAGAGTAGCATCCAAAAGCTTAGCCTCCCAATGTGTGATGGTGCTGCCAAGCACATGTATGTAGCACGCAGTAAACTAGCCCTTTCCCATCTTCTGCTTTCCAGGACCTTCTGGGTTGGAGTTGCAGAAGCTTTGTTCACATGGGTGAAAATTTGTAACTTGATTTTTTATAAGTAGACGACCCTTTTATATTCCCTCCCCCCCATGCACATTTTTGTTTTTCCTCTTCTTTACATTCCTCAGGTATTACTCAATCCCCTTCTCCCCACTACACTTAGTTCATAGGGCTCTGCTTCTGGAAGAACTACAAATTTGGTGGGTTTTTTTTTTTTTTCAAAAAACTCTTCATTTTTCAATCACCATTCTTTTTTCTTTGGCGATATCTTCCTATATACTTTCTCGGTTTCTTGGCCTCTTTTTTCTCTCACACTTACAAAGTTCCTCTGGTTCCTTCTCCCCTTTTCATTCAGCAGCCCCAGAACTTGGATAACTGCAACAGTTCTCTCAGTTCCTAGGCCAAATTCAAGATAACTCCTTATCTTGAAAGGCCTCCAGAGCCATGGCCCTGCATACAGTATTCTTATATCTCACCTCTGAACTCTAATGGTATTTAAGATCTGTGTGATCAGTTCCAACTCTTTTTTTTTTTTTTTAATCTCACGACATGAGATAAAACCAGCAGTTGTTGCAATTGACCTGAGGCTCTCAAGTGATGTACGGAGGCCAAGATTTCATCCTCCTTTCTGGATGTCCAGAATAAAATATTTTAGGTGGCCTTGGAACGCAGACTTGATGGAATGTATTGAATCATTACAGGTAATCATCAACTTAAGACCATAATTTAGCTCAACGTGTCTGTTGTTAAGTGAAACATTTGTTAAGTGAGTTTTGCCCCATTTTACAACTCTTCTTGCCACAGTTGTTAAGTGAATCACTGAAATTGTTAAGTAGTAACACGGTTTGTTAAGTGAATCTGGCTTCCCCATTGACATGATTCCAGAACGTCATAAATATGAACCAGTTGCCAAGCATCTGAATTTTGATCACATGACCAGAGATGCTTCAATGATCATGTGTGAAAAACATTAATAAGTTAACTTTTTCCAATCCCATTGTAATTTCAAACAATCACTAAATGAACTGTTGTAAGTCGAGGACTACCTGTATTTTGTCTATTGGCTTTTATTATTTTGAATGTAAATTACCTTGAGCAAGTGAAAAGTATAATTCTCGCAAAAGAGAAATTCACAAATTGGTAAAGGGTGAACTAAAAACCTTTGTCTACTGTCTAACAGAAATCCGTTAGGAAAGGGGGGATTTTGTTTTAATGAAGATGATGATAGAAAATAGTAATGGGTGTCTTACTAGCAAGTAATTTGAACTCCATATTCTTGGCATACAGATCCTTTCTCTTTTCAAAACCAAAGCCAAATGTTTGATATAAGGTCAGCAAATGAAATCCCTTACATTAATTAATTTTTAGTTTGATCCTCTATTCCAACGGCCTCCAAACTTTTGGGCACCAGAGACTGGTTCTGGGGAGAAAATTTTCCATGGACTGGAGGAAGTGTGGTTTTGCATGCTCCCTGCATCCCATGGATGGGGCTTCACTTGTTTGCACAGCCCAGTTTCTGGCATGTTGTAGACCAGTGCCAGTCCACAGACCAAGGGTTGGGGACTCCTGCTCTATTCTACCTATAGTTGTAAGAATTAGATTGCTCAGCCTTCCTCAACCTGGTGTCTTGGGATTTCAGCTCCCATTCTCCAACCATGCTGCCATGCTGTTAAAAACACTGTTTTCATCACAATTTATGCCAAAACAAATGATTGTAGCAGAAATTATGGATATGGTTTTCCAGTTCACTTATACACAGACTAGTCACATATACAAAAACATAATGACCTCCCTAGAAATTCTGTCATAAAGAATTGGTTATTCATTGCTGGATAGGTTGAATTTGCTGTGAAAAATAAAATTAAGCCAGATAATTACTTCTAAATGCATAGTGTAAGAAGCATATAACAGTTGCTACTTTATTTTTTTTTAAAATGCTCAAAGATAGTAAGACAATATTTTAGGAGCTATTAGTTTTGTAGAATTTAGATTCAGCAGTTTTAACCTTTAAATACATTCAGTTTAAATGTAAAGACATTAATTAAGAAGTATATTTAGCATTCTTTAACTATGAATAGCAATGGCATTCAGATTCGGGTCAATTTTGCTATTTGAACCAGAAATAAAGCAGGAGATCTTCCTGTGTCCATATATTTTAATCAAGGATATAGAGTCAAAAGACAGAATCAATCTCTTACCTCCAATGTTTTCTAAGCCTTCCACGATGGTCTCCTTGACCTGTTTTTTTTTTTAAAAAAATAATATTAAAGGTTATTTTTCCCTTTTGATGCAATCTAGCCTTTTTTTCTTTCATTAAACACAGTTGAAAATTATTAAAACTCAGTTATTTAGATAGTTACACCTAATCAGATGATTTCTGAGAAGCTTTTCTATTCATTGTAGATAAGGTGAAATGAGTTATTCATTCAGCTTCAGCAACCACAACAAATAAGAAAAGAAAATGTCAATGAAAGAAAATGATTGCTTGCAGCATGAGCAATTTACCTATTGATTTTTATAATACCTTCAATTTTCCTTCTTTTATCCACTGACAAAGCTGCAGAGTACTAGCTGAATATTTCTCCATGTAGTTCAAAACCAGGAATCTTTCTCTGTGAAGAATGAAATTGACATCTCACAGCAGTCAAATGTTAAACATTAAAAACATCCTGAAATGCCTTTCTGATTCAGTTTTATGTGCAAAGGGGAACTATTACCATTATCATAAAAAACACTTAGGGCAACAATTAAATTTCCCATCTAATTGTAACCATCATTTACAGAAAAATATTTATAGTTTCATACATAATAATTCAATAGGTTATAGTCCAAAATAAATTGTTTCTTCGGCAGATCAAACAACTTTCAATGTTAAGAATCATTAAGAGAAACTACAAAAGTTGTCAAATTGGTCATGGGTGGAAACAAGCAGTATGTTGGTCTGTCTTGTTTGCAGCAGATAGAAATGGCAACACAGTCCAGCAGACATAATTTAAAGGGTTAGGAAATAGCGATGCGATCGGTCTAATATTTTAACAGTGTAAATGGTTCATCTGAAATAAATAAATTTTAGCCTATTGGGACACTAGAACCTTTATATGTGTGCCGTTCCAAAGTTGACACAACGTGAATTTAGTGCCCATCTTTTGCCTACTCCAAAAGACACACCTCGAAACAGAGGATAAATGACTTTCCGATGCAACAGAATAATTGAATAATCCCTGTTCTAAACTCACTGGGAACAATGGAGAATTCTAATACAATTCATATAAAAAGCACCAGGCTGGGAAAGGGTGGATCAACCTTCTGCTGCATCACTTTAAATTTCTGATCAAATATCTATTAAATGCCTTCATCTTCTCCAGGTAACACATTAAGCTTTGGAATGTGCAAATAAAGCACAAAATTATTTCTCATTCTCTAGTCAGTAAAACTCAAATGCATGGTTTGAGGGACTTGAGTGCTACTGGAAGCATATCACATTTCTCACTGATGAAGTTTTAGGTTAGCTGTATATTTGTTACTGTAGTTCCAACTCCAGTTTCCCTTAGCATATATGGAAATCAGCCTTCCTATTTTCTTTTTCTATCAAAGAGCTTTGTCACTGATAGAATTTTCTGTAAAGCTGCAAGTTCAACTCCAGTAATTATTTGAGTGACCTTGTTTCGCAGATGGTGCATCAATCTAGAAAAGCAATTTTTAGAACTAAAAAAAAGCATTCACAGATTTCAGAAAATTTTATTCAGTGTTTCATTCAGAGAAATAATAAGCCAATGAACAATACCTAGTAATGTTCCGTGATTTCCTTATTTCTTCTACCTCTGGAGGTAAAGGAGGTGGGTACTGCATGTCCTTGTTATATTGGGAGATTTGACCACATAAAATAATATGGCTATTTGAATTCATCTATTGGAAACAAAAAGACTGATAGAGCATTGCAGTTTTTATTTCTTAAGAGTATTTTTTAGAAATACTGTGGATGGGAAAGTTACTCCTTCAACTTATAACTGATATGAAATGGTTCACAATAATAGGTTTTTTTCATATTTATGATTCTTAACCTTATACACCAAAACTCCAACTTCTCTGCATGTTACAGAAGATCCTGGAAAGTGTTCCAGGACTCAGATATAGAAAACAAAGCTGTGAGATTACATTCTTTTTTCACTTATTCTTTCAGATTAGAATTTAGACTGCATATTTGCCAACTCAATATATTCATTACTGTGTTTTACAGTTATCTTTTAAAAAATTGTAAGGATTTACAAACATGAACGGTCAAAAAAATATATATTCATGCATGGGATTGTCATATCTGACCTTCAAAAATGTGAATAACCACTAGATTGCAGCAAATAAACATAAATCTTATGTTTTGTGCCACTTAGGTATCATCCAAATATATTAGTCCTGTTTATATATCTCTTAGAAGATGTATCCTTGAGGTCAGGTGTTCCCCCAACCCCTGGTCCACAATCCAATACTGGGCCACGGCCTGGTTGGGAATGGGCTGCAGAAGCAGTAGGCAAGTTTGCAATGCTGCATTTGCACAAGTGGTGCGTGTACCAAAAGGCCATCCCCCTGCTGTTGCTGCTGCTCCACAGAGCCTGAAAGGCTGGGGACTGCTGCTAAGGTAAAGAAGAATATGTCTAATTATTTCTTGTTTGCACTAATAATAAAGCCCTTACTGCCCACACTTCATTTTCAGTTACACTACATTCTGCAAATAGAAACTAGTAGAAGGTATGCTGGAATCATAGCTGCTTGAGAAAATAGAGAAAAATGCATAGGATAATCAAAAGCCTTGGAGCAAGGAGGTGAAAAAGGCTATGATGGATGGAGTAAATTAGTCTTTTGCCAATTTTCAGTCAAAGTATATGTAAGAACCAAAGTCATAGCAAAGCAACGTGACAAGGACATTGCTAAATCTTCCTGAGTAATCTTCTACTCCTCTCTGCAAGTTGGAGCATAAGGCTGATAAATACTGTTCTGAAAATCAACAGCTAGAGTTTCCCAAAAGTGGGGGCAGGCTTTGATTTACGCTGGCCTTTTCCCACAGTTTATCTTAACAAGTTGCTGCTGGCTAAAGCAGGCATCATGGCTCTCCTGGAAGCACAGTCTGAAAACTGTGCAATATAATTGCAATAGAACATTAAACAGCAAGGGGTTGACTTAAGAGAACTGTTAAAAGAACAGTGTGTTTTTATTACATGTACTGAAACAGCAGAAGAACATCCCATTTGTCTGGTCTACATTTTGTTGCAGCAACCAGCAATATGTTTCACTTATTCTTCTATAGGAAAAATAAGAGTAAAGAAAAAAGAATCAAAATGCTATTCACCTCAGTTATTGTATACTGTATGGGCATCCATGGTATAGGCCAGGGGTAGGCAACCCAAAACACTCAAAGAGCCACTTGGACCTGTTTCCCACCAAAAACAAAACACCGGGAGCCGCAAAACTCTTTTGATATCTAAAATGAAGATAACACTGCATATATCCTTTTTTACCTTTATTATAGGTGTGTGTGTGTTTGTGTGTGTGTGTGTATGTATATATATACACATACACACACAGGTAAAAAAGGATATATGCAGTGTTATCTTCATTTTAGATGTCAAAAGGGTCTCTCTCTCTCTCTCTCTCTCCTTCTCTATCTGCCCTTGGTCTGCCAGTCTTCTTCCCCCACTCTCTCTCTCTCTCTGTCTCTCCCTCTCTCTCTTTCTCTGCCCCCCTCTCTCCCTCTCTCCTATCTGCTGCTCACTTGGCAAGTTGGCTTCAAGCTGTTCTCCAACAAGCTCAGGTGTAGGCAACCTCGGCTCTTTTATGACTTATGGACTTCAACTCCCAGAATTCCTGAGTCAGCATAGCTGGGCTAGCTAGCTCTCTCCTGCCCTTCCTGCTTCCTGCAGAGATGCAGCAAAGGGAGGAGCTCCGCCCAATAAGCTTTTCAGCTCCTCGGAGAACATTGTGAGTGCACTCTCTTTTACACACACACACACACAGAGAGAGAGAGAGAGAGAGAGAGAGAAGCAGGGAAGCACAATTGCCTCTCTCTGTCTCTGTGTCTCTCTGCAAATGGCAGAGGAGGCTGGGAGCCACAGGGGAAGGCTCAAAGAGCCGCATGCGGCTCCGGAGCCGCAGGTTGCGGACCTGTGGTATAGGCAAAAGGACAAATGATGACCCTTACATCATTATGATATCACACAAATGCCACAAGTTATTCTTGCATTAGATGTCATAATGCAAATAAATGTGTAACTGCAGCATCTATAGTGTGTAATGATATAATAAGATGTGTCACATTTATGTTATCATGGTTTGTTATGGATGTGACTCCAGTGAAACCAAAACTGTATGTGCGACAGTATATTTACTATGATTAACTTAAATACAGTTTACTCAATGAATCCAAGTGTTCTAATATCACTAGAGTGGCTTCACATTACTAATTAGTCTGTGAGTAATACGTAATGTAAACATATGGGTCACATTGTCACTTTGGCCAGACTTTTAAGCATACCTCAGCTATCAATGAGGATGTGATAGAGCAGTGATGGCAAATCTTTTAGAGACCGAGTGCCCAAACTGCAACCCAAAACCCACTTATGTATCATTGGGTGTCAGGTGGGCGTAGCCCATTGGGTGGGCGTGGCTTTGGTGATAACAGCAAACTGGGTGGGACTAAAAAGTTCAATCAATCAATTCCAATTTTGCAAGATCTTTTAGATTGATTGATTGAACCTTTTTTTTTTTTTTGCGGCGGAGGCCTAAAGATAAAACCCAGCTGAAGGCCTAGGACTAGAGTGATGGTGCACATGCCCACAGAGAGGGCTCTGCATGCCACCTGTAGCACGCGTGCCATAGGTTCGCCACCACTGTGATAGAGATTAGAGGACTTGCGCAACTTAATTTGGATGAGAATAGAAGTGAATTATATACAGAAAATCTTTAAGAAAAAAGCTTTCAGCCACAAAGCCAAACAAAATGCAGAGAAGAAACTTACTCCAATCTTCATGAAAAACATTTTTGCATTCATTGGCTATATCAGTGGAAATCAGAGCTGGCAAAAATCATAAATTAAAGATATGTGCGTAATAAGCATCTTGTGTCCTCCTTGGCTAACAAAACTCCACAAATGTGATAGAACAATATAAAAGAAGAACATATATTCCAACATACCGTAAATGCCGGCGTATAAGATGACTTCCACGAACGCTGAAATCGGCACCAAAGACGGGGGTCGTCTTATACGCCAAGTCGTCTTATACGCCGGAAATACTGGTAGTTTCCGGTGTATAAGACGACGTTCTAGGAATGCGGCCCGGCTATAAAGACGGGGGTCGTCTTATACGCCGGGTCGCCTAATACGGCGGCATATACTGTATATTAGATTCCCTATTACATTACAGTAGTATGGGAAAGAAATTGTGTTATTTCAAGTTAGCTGCTCATATTTATCTGCCAAATTTTAGGTAAACAATTATATTAGAAAATATCTTAAGAATCCAAAGCCATTTCAGAGTGGCTCAAATAGATTTAGTGATTAGTTATATCTTGGTGTAGAAAAGATGGTGATTTGATTATCTGAATGCTGTGCCAATTTAATTTTGTATTCCTTTGATTATGCATCCATAACTTCTCCCCTCCTCCCCCCCCCCCCGCATCCTGCACCAACACAAGGACTCATGCAGAGCTCAAAATGGAGAGAGAAGAGGGTTCTACGTGTTCCTGTCCTTTCTCCAGTTTCTAGCTATCTGGGCCCTTGCAATATTTGAGGTCTAGATCCTCTGGAGAGCTGTACTCACATTAAGCCAAAAGAAGTTTAATCTAGGGAGCAGGAGTGGGACTGCACATAGTATTTTTTTTTCTCTTCACCTTGACCCATCCATGCATTCACACAAATTCCTGAATGGACTCAAAAAGGAGGCACAGCACACTCACTTGTCTTATTACTGTATCACTGATGTCTCCACCAACATTGTCAAAGTAGATATCCACTCCATCTGGGCAAAGTTTGTGTAGCTGCTGTGCCACATTCTCTTTCTTATAGTTGATTGCAGCATCAAAACCCATTTCCGAGACCAAAACCTTGCATTTTTCATCTGTGCCACAAATACCAACTACTTTAGAACAGCCCTCCAGGAGACCTATCTTTGAAAACAGAAAACCATTACACAAAGTCAGCTTTTTGCAATCACTTGTCTTCCAGCACAATGATTTTAAAAAAAAAAAACAAACCAAACAAATCTATATTTTTCTGTCAGTTACAAAATAATCATTCTCTGCATCTTTTCTCACAAGGAGCCAGCAGAGAGGGAGAAGACCAAATTGGACAATAATTATGAAATGGGTAAAAGGATATTTTAACCCATTGTCATTCTTTGTCATAGTCTCAAATGAAAGCAGCGATGCTCACATTTATTAGCAACAGGAAGAAACAGTTGGTGCCAATAGAAGCTCTCTTCCTATACCACATAGCATGTGAGGTGGAAGAAAGACTAAATGGAGGTAGGCAATTTTTTAAATTTTGGGATTAAAGGCAGGAGTTTTTAAAAGCTTTTAACTTAAAAAAATAAAATGAAGTCTCCTAAGAACCATACGGGGTGTGACTAGTGATGTTATGATCTTACAGAAAGAATGGGGCCTAAATATTTAGACCTTTTTTTTGTTTTGGAGATTTTTGAAACATGTTTAAGATTTGCTCCCATACCCCCAAGTCTTCTCAAATTGGGAATGTTGGCTTGATTGGAGCTGAGATGATTTCAGGATAAACTTTTACCTCTGCAAAGCTTAGGATACTGTTGTATCTTCGAACTCTGTCTCTGCTTCAAATATATATAGATATATATATATATTTGGGGGGAAATTTGTATTATTTGGACATATGGAAGCCACCATATATTTTTTTATACATCAGGAACAGATAGATTTTATCATGGTATATATATATATATATGTATCCCATGAGAAAAATCTATCTATTCCTGAGGTATAGAAAAAAAAATATAGTGGCTTCCGTATGTCCAAATAATACAAATTAGACTGAGTTTATAGCTTCTTACCTGCCCAGCCAGGGAGCCACAAGCACCAGCAGCTCCACTGACAACCAGGGTTTGATTAGAGCCTGGAGATACATGTCCTTTCTCTCTGATTCCCAGCAAAGACGTCAGCCCAGTCAAGCCAGCTGCACCCAAGAAATAGGAAAGGTGTCCATCTACAAGGTGTTGTTCGATCTGAAAAAAAAAAGTTTCAGATTGAATTAAGCATTATCATTCTAGTCAAGATCCATTCAGATTTTTTGGCTGGATTTTTTTTGAAAAGGTTCAAAGTTGGTAGACATTTTTTGTCTTTTTTTTTTTAAGTTTTGTGGTTCTATTTGAAGCCAGTTTAGTACAATGGTTAAGGCATCTGGCTAGAAACTGAGTTCCAGCCCTGCCTTAGATAGGAAGCTACCTTGATACCTGGGCCAGTCACTCTCTCTCTTAGCTCTATGAAACAGGCAATGGCTAACCACTTCTGAAAATGTGGGAAAAAAACTGCAGGAATTGTTTAGACAGTTGCCAGGATGCAAAAAGCTGACACAGAGTCAAAAATTATCTGTATAACATTATAAACTTGTTCCTTTGGTACTCAGCTAAAAACCACATTTTTGGTACCACATTGGATGCTGTGCCATAAACAACTGTGCAAATGAAAAAAATAGTGGGTGTTGTTCTTTAACAGTGATATCCCCAATAAACTACAGGAACATCATCACATACATGTTATTATTATATACTTGCTCCTGGGGCACTGTCATTACACGTCTCCATTCAACCCCCTCCCTATGGATATCCATAGTCTTTAATCACATATTGCTAGAGGTCAGGGCACACTCATCTATATTGTTTTTCTCCAAAGGAAATGGAAACAAGTGCCACCATGCTACCTTCTTCAGTTGCTTTCCGTCTAAAATGGCTTTGGTCTGCCAGGGCCAGGTAAAGGAAGTCACAAAGTCTCCTGGAGCAAAATGCACATCTCTGCTTTCTTCCACACAACCAATTCCACCTCCATCAGTAACTTCAGACAATTTCCAAGCCTGGAGGTAGTCAGAGCCAGCATCTTCATTCATACGACACCGCTAAAAGACAATTATTTATAGCAAGAGAATCCTTTAAAGCACAATCCTTTTCAAAAAACACATAGCTGGCCAAAACATGAAGCTACAAGGATTTTAATGCTAGTCAGAATAAAAATATGGAAACTGCTAAATAATACAATAAATCCTTTAAAAGCTTAAGAAGGAAGAATAAGGGTTGTATTTTTATTACTGACAGACTAAGAGGTTGTTCTGGTTCATATGATACATCTTAGAAAAAACATAATTCAAATTATGCAACACAAATTTCTGATGTAATCTTGTGGAAAATGAAGATTAGTAATTAGTAAAGTTATTATACAAAGAACTCTAAGTTTACTTCACATTAACTAAAGTAAATTCCAATGCTGGAATTTTTTATTACAACATGCAGAATATTTGTACACTTTTTCAGAATGGAATTAATGTATGGTATAAGGTTTACATATATTCAGAGATCTTCTTATGATTCTTTCTCCCAGTTACACTGGCTTCAATTGTAGAAGCTACAATACTTTCCATATTCATATTAGCCATCAGCATGGAAGGAGGAAACGAAAAGCTCAGGTACTTTCCAAATACTTTGCAGTATGTGTGTTATAATTGTGGTCATGGGTATTTATGCAAAACAAAATATTCCCTTCTGTTAGACTGGACAGCCATTTGTCTGAAATTGTATAGGGCAGTGGTGGCGAACCTATGGCACAGGTGCCAGAGGCGGCACTCGGAGCCCTCTCTGTGCGCATATGTGCTGTTGCCCCAGCCTCACCTCCCACCACAACCCCCTCCTCTCCAGCAGCCCCCCTAAAGGAGAGTCGCCCCTGAGCGTGGCCCACCCGGAGCAGCGCAGCCAAGAACATGGCAGCCAGGCAGTGTAGACAAGACTCTGCCCTCACACCCCATCATGCACAGTTGATGCTGCAGGGCGCGGGCAGAGGGCGTGACCACCATAGCACTGCTGGGCTGCCTGGGCGATCTGCGGCAGGCCCTGGAGGCAGTGAGTGGCCCTGCAGGCAGGTGGGGTGACTGATGGGGCGGAGCGGGAGCGGGGCAGGGGATAGAGCGGGGGCAGGGCCAGTTTTTGGGCACTTGGTCTCTAAAATTTTCACCATCACTGGTATAGGGTTTCCTGCCTGAGCAAGGGGTTGGACTAGATGACCTCCAAGGTACCTTCCAACTTTTATTATTATTAGTAGTAGTAATAGTAGTATTAGTATTATTGCCATAAATCACTATTTACAGTGACACATGACTGGCAGATCACATGAAGAATCAACTGGCCAAATATTCTTCAGATATTTTAATATATTCATTATACCCACTTACCATGTAAGGATCCACAGACAAATAAAGTGTACGGACTTTAACTTGACCCTCAGCAATTTTGTCTGAGAGGGTGGCTTCTTCCATACGGAAGTTTTCTGCAACTGGCACTCCATTGATGCCTAGAATGAGTCAGATCAAAGATTTAGCACCTTGGTCTCTCCTTCCTTTTGAGATTATGGGAGTTAAATTAGCATTTCTCAACAATCATATCTGACTTCAGAGGACTCACATTCCTTACAAAAGCATGTTTTTCTTCTGTGAAATACCTTGGGTCAGCCGCTGTTCTGATTTTACAAATTCTATTTGTATTTCTCCTCCCAAGCTTTGCTTCCTGTTGGCCTTGATGATTTTCAACATGATGTATGTATCTAAATATCCTCATTTCTAGTAAGGTAGTTTGTGATGAACAGCAATTTTAATGTAAAAAAGCTGGAAATATATGCCACCAATTTTAGTGCAAGAATGGCCAGCTGTTTATAAATTTCAAGTGAAATAGAAATTAACAAGAGGCCAGAAGGAAATGCACCAATACAATAACTTTCAAAGTTAAGAATAGATTATTCACAGTAAATACTGCTTATAGCTACTGTTAGAAATCATGAGTACACAATTTAAAACATACAACATTGTTTACAGCACTTTCCACATTTCATACTTCAATCTCATTTAGGTTATTTGTTTATATATTTTTGCTCTGACACAAACTGAAATATTCTCACCAACACATCTGTAATTAGAAAATGTCTGCTAAGAATGTCTTGTTGAAGACTTGTAATAACAAGCTTTGGATGTGCACATCAGAAATCAATCTCTTCAATGCCTTTTCTCTTCCCATTTACAATGTTCTACAACAGTGTTTCCCAAACTTGACAATTTTAAGGCATGTGGACTTCAACTCCCAGAATTCCACAGCCAGCGTTGCTGGCTGTGGAATTCTGGGAGTTGAAGTCCACATGCCTTAAAATTGTCAAGTTTGGGAATCACTGTTCTACAAGGACACAAAACTCAAATATGTTCTCCAACAAGTAGAAACGTACCAGGGCGTGAATGCAATACCACTCTTTGAATGTTCATCAGCCTTCCAGCAAAAATCTGGCACAGATGAAAATCAGATTCCCTGTAAAAAAATTTTTGACAATGTTTAATACCACCTAGAGGGCAATTGTCAATAAGCAGTTTAAAAATCTAACCAATGATTAAACACAAGCATATGGTTTTGGTTTTATGATAGACTTGTATTACTAAGAGCCCTATGAATTTTCTGAAGATTTTTGGTATGGCACCAGGGCCCCTTCAAAACTGCTCAACCAATTGTATTCTTAACATACCTGGAAGGAAAAAACAAATACGTTTGGGAAATGGAAACAATAATATCAATTTTAATATAAATAAAATTCAATGTAAATTTTGTATCATATTTATTCTTTTTGTCCTCCTTGCATTCTACTTTGGGGAGGTCCATTTTCAGCAAATGCATCCCTTGGCTTATGAAAAGCTATGTACCTTTGTTTAGGGTAAGAATGAGGTGAAATTATAAGAAAGTGTATATGATGAGAGCAGATTGAATTAATTACCGCTAGTTCTGCACTACCCATCCATAAAAATACAGACAATAAAGCATGGCTTGGAGCATTTGTCAGGAAATAGTGCAGAAGACTGTTTCTTCACAGTCTTTAGAACGCGCTTTGTTGAAAGGAAACAAGTTCACAGATACAAAAGGTAGAGAACAGATTGGCAAAGAACAGAATGTAGAAGGGAGAAATAGCTAGAAGTGCTAAAATGCTTCACTAAGAACTAGACAAGCAAAAATTCATGCTAAAAACATCATCTATATTAGCTTTTTTTGCCAAACTGCCCCAGAGATTGTTTTTGCAATGGAAGCCCATCCTAATCTGCCTAAATTTTTGAAAGCATTTTAACCTGGATAACTTCATATGGAAATAAATTCAGCTGACATTGTCAAAGTTGCATATCAGACTTCCATAACCTGATCCTTCCAGATGTGTTGGAACAATAGGCAAAACCCAGCAAGATGAATTTCAGCAAGCAGAAATTGAAAAGTCCTACACATGGGTAGGAAAAATCAAAGGCACGGTATGTGGGGAACATATTGGGCATGCAATTTCTAATGGTGTTTTAAACCATTTCCAGAAAATAAATAAGACAGTCAAATATGCAGTGTTCTATTATATTGAGAACTTCATGATAACACTGTATTAAAATCTGAGTTTTTGACAGGGAGCAAGCAGCTTCAGCAGATAATGCTTACACCATTTACCAAACAAAATGATTTCCTAAGTGTTCATAGTTCTTTTTAGTTCATTTTTGAGAACTGAATTTTAGTTTTCAATTCAGATTCATCAATTTCGGAGTGTAATGCATGGTGGGTTTTATCATGAATTATCAAATAAAGCATTTGAGTCAAAGGGAGCACAGAATACTTACTCCCCTGGAGATGAACAAGATAAATTTTGTTGATTTTTTTTTCTCTGCAGCCCCTGACCTATCTAATCTATCTTTAAAACTGAGATATCACCCACCAGCTTACACCAAATCTTGTCTCATTCTGTTCAATTTTCTAAGGCTATCTTGCTAATCAACAATGGAGTTCTGAGTTCCTTTACACCAGCGGCCCCCAATCTTTCGGGCACCAGGGACTGGTTCCAAGGAGAGAGGTTTTTCCATAACTTGAGGTGGCGTGGTTTTGTGTGCGGCCTGCATCCTGGGATGAGGCTTTGCTTGTTTGCGCAGCCCGGTTTCTGATATGCCATGGACCGATGCCGGTCCACGGACTGGGCATTGAGGAGCCCTGCTTTACACAACATCTCTTTGTTGATAAAGAAGAAAGTTTTAGATGGGGAATTCATCAAATTTTCAGATGACACCAAGCTGGCAGGAATAGCCAACACTCCAGAAGATAGGCTTAAGATATAGAAGAATCTTGACAGACTTGAACATTGGGCGCTATCTAACAAAATGAAATTCAATGGTGAAAAAAGTAAGGTTCTACATTTATGCAAGAAAAACCAAATGCACAGGTATAGTATAGGTGGTACCTTGCTCAATAGTAACAACTATGAGAGGGATCTCAGTGTCCTAGTGGACAATCACTTAAATTTGAGCCAGTAGTGTGCTGCAGATGCCAAAAAAGCCAACAAAGTGCCAGCCTACATTAACAGAGAGATAGAATCAAGATCACGTGAAGTATTAATACCACTTTACAATGCCTTGGTAAGGCCACACTTGGAATACTGCATCCAGTTTTGGTCATCATGATGTAAAAAAGATGTTGAGACTCTAGAAAGAGTACAGAGAAGAGCAACAAAGATGATTAGGGGACTGGAGGCTAAAACATATAAGGAACGGTTGCTGGAATTGGGTATGTCTAGTTTAATGAAGAGAAGGATGAGGGGTGACATGATAGCAGTGTTCCAATATCTCAGGGGCTGCCACAAAGAAGAGGGAGTCAAGCTATTCTCCAAAGTACCTGAAGGCAGGACAAGAAGCAACGGATGGAAATTAACCAAAGAGAGAAGCAACCTAGAACTAAGGAGAAATTTCCTGACAGTTAGAACAATTAATCAGTGGAACAATCTGCCTCCAGAAGCTATGAATGCTCCAACACTGGAGCCAAGATCCTTGCTTGGTTCCAGGGCTGCCCTGCCGCCTCTGTCCTGCCCCCCGGGTGTGCACACAGGAGACGCCCAGTGCCGGCGTCCTGGGTGAAGTCAGCCTGCGGGGCAAGACAGCCAGCAGGGGCACCAGACTCCACTTGCGCGTGTGCCCAGGGGGCAGAGTGGGGCTGCCCCGTGGATCTAAGGCTGAGTGCATTCTGGCTTTGATGGATGCAACCAGGTTGTAGATCAGCACCACCCCCTTCCCACCAGCACCTTCAGCCTCACGGCCACAAGGCTTTCCATTCATCAGGACAGCCCCCGCCCGCCCACATGGAATAGCAAGACCAGTGGCAACATGGCAGTGCTGGCAATCTCTCCCCCTCCCATCACCCCTTTCTGAGGAAGGAAAGAGATGAGAACGAATGGAGGAAAGGAGGGAGGGAGGGAGGGAAAAAAGATGGGAGGAACGGAAGTAGGGAGGGAGGGTAGGAGGGAGGGAAAAAAGGGAGAGAGTAATGGAGGAAGGAAGGGAGGGTGGGAGAGAGGGAGGGAGGGAAAAAAGGAAGGAAGATAGATTATAATGAGAGGGAGGAAGGGTCTGAGGGAAGTCCTGTCTTAGCACTTGGCCCCGGGCAGCCCTACTGCTCTTTTGCCATCCCCTTGACCCTTCCTCTTGACCTCTCCTGATGGTCTCCCATGCTATCGCTGAGGATGCTTTGGTTACAAACCCAGGTTTCCTCGCATGGAGAGGGAGTGGGTTTCCCTGTGACCCGGGTCCTCTGCCAGACTCTTGAATCCGCCCCAGGCCTCCACAGGCCTGCACAGGCACCCCGAGAGCGATGTCGAGCTGGCCATGCCCACTCAGTAGGCCACACCCACCCAGTAGGCCACACCCACCCCAGCCACGTCCTCCCAGTAGTCCACGCTCATGCTAGCCCCCACACACACACACCTCGAGGGCAACCACAATGCTGATGTGGCCCTCAATGAAATTGAGTTTGACACTCCTGCGTTACTGGATCCTGGGAAGGGACAGATCTCATTCAGAAACTTTATGCATGGCCTGGGCATATAATTCCTATCCACAATATTCTGAATTTAGCATTTCAACACACGAGACACATCCCATCTCAAACATTACAAAGTTTCTCTTTGGTAACTCCCTACACATTCCTACTAATGTTAGTTTTATATAGGCTTTTCTCCTTCTTGCTGGGCTGCAAGTTCCTGAAAGATGGATACTTCAAGTAGTCTCCACAAGACAGTTCTTTCCCTATTTTCACTTTAAGTCTACCAGTTTCTCTTCTTTTGAGAACTTCATGATCTGAGAAAACATGAACATTTTTATTATCGTTATACAGCAAGTCCTTGGGCACACTGTGCAATGTAATTCATACTATTCACATGTATTAGATAGTTATGGTATTTTGGGGTGAGTGGGGAGTGTCATTATCCAGCACACATTAGTGCAAAGTAATTTTTTATTTCAGTGTATAATCCATTAGCAATCAATATACTGTGAAATATAAAGGAACATCAAACTATTAAGAAGTCTGTGCTCTGAAGCAGAGTCAAAAAGTTTCTTTACTTATCCCATTTTTCATCTGGACTAAACCCCAGATTTACTTACCCCAGACGTGAGTCTCCAACCACCTATGATTCTGGACCCGAGAAGAGAAGAAGTCACAAAAGCAAAAAAAAGCTCAAAGGGCCTCTGTTTGGCCCAGCCTTCTCTTAAAAGGGAAATGAAAGACTACTCAAAGCCATTTAAAAGGGCAATGGAAAAAAAAATATTCTAGCTCAGTTTTATAGTTAGTTCATTTAGGGCAGTGGTTCTCAACCTTCCTAATGCCGCGACCCCGCAACCGGTCGTAAGTTGAGGACTACCTGTATTTCCCTGCCCGGGAGCGCCGCACATGCGTGGTACCACCCTCTGCGCCGGCCGAGGCGTAGCTGGCAAGCGGCAGAGACGGCGCAGGCTGACCACCGGCTGGGTTACCAGCTGGCCCAGCCCAAGGGAGGTAAGGCACCCTCTGGGCCCCACGCGCGCCAGCAACCCTCCCTGCGCCCACCGCTGCCCCTCTAGCCTTACCTTGGCCACCGCCCATTTGGGGCGGCGGCAGGCAGGCCCAGGCACTCCTGGGCGGCCACGGCAAGTGGCAGCGACGGCACCAGCTGACCCAGCCCAAGGCAGGTAGGGCACCCACCGGGCCCCACGCACGCCAACAACCCTCCCTGTGCTCGCTGGCCTCCCACCTCCCACCCCTGGCCCTCTTTTACTTACTTTTAGTAGTTGCTCAGCAGGGACGGAAGCTTTCCAGAAAGTTCGCCTTGCAGCACCGTTTGCAGACTGGGGCTTTTGGCGAGCTTAGCAGGGCAGAGACAGCCTGGACAATTCCTATTGGCTTTTGAAAGCCAATAGAATTAGACTCTATTCTTTTCTATTGGCTTTCGAAAGCCAATAGATTCTATTGGCTTTCGAACGCCAATAGAATAGAGT